CGTTATATCAAGCCGATTGGTCAATACAGGAAAGACAAGCAAATCATACAGTATGCGAACGAGACATGGGTCTGGTATTGCACGGGGCGCCGAAGAGATTGGAGTTTTCTTTAGGATTACCGTGACCCATCCTCTGAGGGCGTCTCTTCGCACGCCTCAGGTTTAATTGGGAGAAGGCTTATCGTGTCGCATTCCTTATCGTCGTAAGGTCTGTTGCATAGAGTTGAAGAAATTGCTATATTCTGGTGACTGACAATTGGTTATGCTCTGTATTGCTCAAAACGACTGGATTTGGTCTCCATCTCAGCGGACACAAAGGAAATGCCGACGATATTCTCGCAGCAACACGCATTAACTTACAAAAAATCGGGATGCGTAGGCTGCTCGACAGCGTGCCGATGAGAGAGAAGAAGAGTTCCAAACGTACACGATAGCCAAGATTGTCCAGAAAACAGAGATTAAAATCTCTCAGCTAACCTTTTTCCGTTGCCAGTTTTTGCTTGTTGTGCTCCTCTGTAGTTGACTAAAGTAAGATGTGCCGAAAGAAGCGTATACTGAAGTAGGGAAGCTATGAAGGCTTACACTTCAACTAAGTCATATTCTGGTGGTGTGCGGAACGGAAATATTAAGGGAGTTTTTAACCGTCTTTATTTAGAAATTGAACAGTGTTCCCAAAGACGTTCCATTGAACTGGCTCGAGCACTGCAATGAGATTGAAGATTTTATTTACGCACGCGACACCAGACTTCCTGAACCTGCAGCTTTTGTGGAAGTCGTATGCGACCTTCCTTATGAGAGCGGAAACGAGGCATTTGGCTGGAAGGACAGCGACTAGTGAACCGAGATGGCATAGGTTTAAAACATATTTATGGTCAACTGTAAAGGGTGCTGTATTTGTAAAATACAATGTATTCTATGTAGTGAAACACTTCAAATAAACCTACTTTTTGAGACAAGTTAGAGAAAAAAAAAGGAGTACGAAAAAACGAACCCCAGCCGTGCATTAGATGGAACATATGAATTAACCATATGTAAATAAAACTTATGCTTCTATTCAAACAGAAAATTATTATAAAAAGTATCGGTAGTATCGGTACCATATAAGAAGAAAAGAATTCCTGCATACGACGGGTCTCAACGTGCTGATTGGCTGATTGCTTTTTGGCGGGGGAGTTGAGGAGGGACAATGAAGGGGGACAGCAGCAAAGGGAAAGGGGAAACGGCGGCGGCGTAGCAGTGCCGAGGGGAACGAAGCTTTAATGTGCCGCCGCAAGTCAGCCGCAGCTTTTTTACTTATTTATATATGTCTCAAAAAAGAGTCTAATGAAGACGACGGTGTGATGTAATGGCGG